TCTATATCCTTCCCTTCAAGGCTCAGGGGTCCAGGATTATCTTCTGTGTCTGTGTTAATTGGTTTCCCTTTTCTTTGTTGAAGATGGTCTGTGCAATCTTTCTGCCTAGTCCACCATCTTACCAGAACTCGTGTCCTTTGATTCTTGACTTTTGCTTCCATGGGTGCTGATTGTGAATCTAAGTAAAATTAAATCTTTGACAATTTTAATCCTTTCTTCATTTATTATGTTGCTGCTTTTTGGTCCAGTTGTGAGAATTTTTGTTTTCATTATGTTGAGGTATAATCTGTACCAAAGGCTGTATAGTCTTTGATCTTTATCAGATCTGGAAGCTGAGATTCAAACATTTAGAAAGTAGCAGAGATGGGATTCAAGCACAGTTCCTATATGACTCTTCTATGCAGGCAGACTTTGTATTAGCTTGTTTCCAAAGTGAAAATTTTGCCCATTACTTTTTTACTTATGAACTCTATTTGGGAGAGAGAGTTAATTCTACATTTCCTGTTAGAAGAAATTTGACTGCTTACAGTGATGCAAGTGACCTCATTAGAACAAATTCTGTAAACTAATTTCCTACCTAAATCTGCACTGGGAGAAGTCATAAATTTTATTAAATAATCATATTACACTTTCCTTCCAAGTCATAAATAGCAATTCAATTCCATTCAACAAATTCTTATTTAGTAATTACCTGTGTCCAGCACTATGCTGGGTGTGGCAGAGGCACATGATATAATCTCTAATTTCAAGGAGAAAGGCAAATCTTCAAGAAGACTAGAATGCACATATGGAACTACACACACACACACACACACACACACTACAGAGAAAATATCTAAAAGAAGGTAGTAGGCTGCATCCTTAATACATTCAAATCCTAAACCCTTTTTGGAGATAATGCTGTATTTATCTTTGCTGTGAAAAATTTTAACCCACAGAAGTGTTGATAATATACAAATGCCTAGTTACCTTTGAGATATTTATTAATGTCTTAATTTCCCTCTCAAGGTGCTGATGCTACTAAGAATGATGGAGTGTATTCAAGATATTTTACAGCCTATGATACAAATGGTAGATACAGTTTAAAAGTGTGGGCTCTAGGAGGAATGAATGCAGCCAGAAAGGGGGTGATACCCCAGCAGAATGGAGCCATGCACATGGCTGGCTGGATTGAGAATGGTAAGTAATCTGTAATAACAGACCTAGGTTGAGTAAAAGACTTGGGATCAAGAGCAAATCATTAAATCTATGAGACAGAACAGTGTAGTGATTAGATTAGGGTTTCTCAACTCTGACACTACTGACTTTTTGAGCCAGATAACTTTTTTGGGGGAGTGCATGGTGGAATCCATGGCCTCTACTCACTATACCAGTAGTAGACCCTCCAACCATGATAATCAAAAATGTCTCCAGATATTGTCAAATATGCTGTAGAAGGCAAAAATCATCCACAGTTGAGAGCCACTAGATTAAATACAGTTTTTGGCTGCCTTGGTTTAATTCCTACTTCTCCACCAAATTAAGTATTTCAGGTAATATCTTTGTGCTTCCCTTTCCTTAGTTGTAACTACCTCATAGAATGGTTATGAGAAATAAACAAGGAATCACATCTAATAAGCTGGACATGGTAAAGAGCAATTAATGCTTGTTATTATTTTTAATACATTTTCAAACATAAGCTCTTTCTATTGATATTATTGGCAAGTCCATAGAATCAAAAAGCACAATTTAATATTTGATTACCTACATCATTATCATCAGCAGCAGCCCATTGTCTCCCCTCCCTCTTCTGTCTCCCTGCTTAGACTAGGGAAAACAGTGGATGGGTATAATACTGGCCATCACACTGAGCCCATATGTAAGCAAGTGAGAAAGTTTTGCTTCATGAAACACACCATTCTTTGTTTCAAACACTTGCCCTGGACTAGAGAGGAAACTGGGATCAAGACTGAGTTCTAGTATATTCCACGACTTTTGATGGTTCCATCAATGTCCACTCTGTCCTGGGCAGTCCTCTTTCCTGGTGCTGGTAAGTAGTAAAGAACACAGCTCGTACAAGAAGTTCCCCACTGTCCCCTTCACTTGGGCACATGCTCAGGAAAGGGAGGGCTTCCTAAATGTGATGTCCCCTCAAGCAAAGGTTATTACATGGAAAAATATTTTAAAAGACACCATTGCTTCCAAAATTCTTTCACATACTTCAACTTATTTTATTCTCATTTGATATTTTCTTTGAGTTATGGAAAAGAGGAAGGAGGGGGCTTGTTTAGTGGCTGTTTCTAGCATTACACTCAGTGTTTTACTTACATTTGTACTTCTAATACTATTAACTATGTCATTCTACAGACAAGGAAACAGGCTAGAAAGATTGTTGCTCTATATAGCTAAGAGTGATAGCACCAGCTCAGCAATGGAAAGCCTTGATGTGCCTTAATACCAAGAGAGATAATCTCTAGTGAATAATTGAACACTTACCCTGAACTTGCCAAAGCACCCACTTCATTCTTGTCCAAGACCAGGTTAATGAATAAGAAGATCAACCTATCTTAACAGATAAAAATGTTGAGGACTTTAGAATTTATGAGAAAGTAGATTCTGTGCAATTCCATGTTAGGTTATTATGTGATGTTCTTATTTAAAAGAGAGTCTGAAAAATCCACAGACTGAGGTTTCTTTTTTTTTTTTTAATTCCAGATTTACTTTTATACAGTCTTTCAACAAGATTGTGAAGAATTGGTATTTCTGTAAGAACTAGGTTCCCATGTATTCATTGAGACTATTAGGAGTCTTTCAAAAATATAAAATTTTGAAATTCCTATCAGGAAACAGTTCATAAAAAACTGCAATATAATATGGAAGATAAAACACTTACATAGAAAAATGCATAGGGGAAAAAGAATAACGCAATACTTATAGGCTCAGATGACTGATTTACTAAATAAACAGAAAGATAATGAAGCCCACAGTATTATCCTCCACAGTATTATCTGAGTAGAAGAAATTTCTTGAGGTAGTCTGAGAAGCTTTAAAACAGAGGAAGTTTTTATACTGATCTTATAGAAGGGTAGTATCAGGATAGGCAAAAAGATGGGGACAGGAAATTCCAGGACAAATGTCTTAAAACTAACTTTCAAAAGCTGATTCTACTAAATATCCAGGAAATATATGTTAGATGAAGAACTGTGATTCTTTGTTTTTTCCCATCTGATTCAACCTGATTTTGAGTCTTTTTAATGAAAAAGTTAAAAAGAATTTTTGCATGAGAGGGAAGAAGGGGAATGAGAAAGTAGGAAGAGGGTATATAGAGATAGCCGTGTATTGAGAAATGTTTTTAATGCAGGTGAAGTAAAATGGAATCCAACGAGACCTGAAAACAATAAAAATGATCTTCCAGGCAAGCAAGTGTGTTTCAGCAGAACATCCTCTGGTGGTTCATTTGTGGCCTCCAGCGTCCCAGTGGCTCCCATACCTGATCTTTTCCCACCGTGTCAAATCACCGACCTGAAGGCAAAAATCCAAGGGGGCAATCTTATTAATCTGACTTGGACAGCTCCTGGGGATGATTATGACCATGGAAGAGGTAAACTAATGTAGTGTGGCCCCAGTAAAGGAGTTTACTAACCACAAGAGGTATATAGAAGGGGATGAGACAAACAGGCATGTTGTGATGAATGAGGGGTAAAAGCCAGAAAGGATCTTGAAATTCCTCTACAATGTAAACCAAACAAAAACAAACCCATTGCCATCAAGTCAATTCCGACTCATAGCAAACCTATAGGATAAAGTAGGACTGCCTCATAGGGTTTCCAGGGCTGTGAATCTTTACAGAAGCAGACTGTCTCATTTTTCTTCTGCAGAGCAGTTGGTGGGTTCAAACCACTGACATTTTGGATAGCAGCAGAATGCTTTAACTAAAAATTTTAAAATAAGAGATGTTTAGACAAAATCTCAGCTTTTTCTGAAACCCCGCCAAACAATCCTTTTTTTTGTTGTTGTTGTTAAGTGCCGTCGAGTCGTTTCCAACTCATAG